TTAGCTCTGCACGGGCTAAACCATACTGGCAGAATGTAAGACCTTATATGCATTTTCTGTGCTGTTCTGTACAACACGTGAGGAATGCTAATCAGCATTTGAAAGGAAATTTGGGCTTTCAAAGAAGACCCACCGAAATGCAAAATGGGAAAATATATTCCCCTACCAAAAAGTCCAGTAGAACTTGCGAGTCATCTGGAAGCAAGTAACTCCCGCTTCTCCCCCCTCCACCACCATTTCTAACTTAAAACACAATCATCCTCAAAGGATCAGGATCTTTCAGATTTTTTTTTTTCCTTTCAGTAATGGAATTAAGAACATAAACAACAAACAAACCTAAAGGCTAAATAAACCTGAGTAACAGCTGACATTTTCCTTCCCTGCACTGAGTGTCAATATTTCGGGGTCACCACGCTTTGGTCACCACAACTGCAACCTGTCCCAGAAGAACACTCGATTCACGCGGGTCTTCTCGGCGGTGCTCAAGTCCTGGTGGCACCGTGACCCATTTTAGCTCCTGCCTGGAAATGGATACTGAACAACCGCAGGGCTCCGAGTGACGGTGAGGGACCGGGGGAGCATACAGAAGAGAGGGGGAAGGACTGCAGCACAGCCAGCCACACCGCTCTGCCTCCGAGATGAAGCAGCTTCGAGACAGGCGAACAGACAGCTAGACAGGGAAGGTGTGGGAGATTGCAGAGACAAAGGAGCCGGGGAGAGGAGCGAGAACAGAAAGAGGGAAAAATGGGACAGAGAGCCCGAGATATTCATAAGAAAGATCAGTTCTTCAACCTGAGCGCAGGCAGCTTGAAAACATCCAGTCTGACGCAATGGGAGAAAGAGTAAGTTTATTTATTTATACTGTGTTTTCATCCTAATTGACACATCCTGCCTCCATCTAGCTGTGCTGGTCCACTTAAGGAAGCACTGAGCCCAAGGTAACCTAACAAGGTAACAAATCACCCGGCAGCCTGTTTATTCAGAAATATCAACCGTTTCAACTCCAACAAGCAAAGGAGCAAAAAGGACACCCACCCCTCATAAAATGCAAACAAAAAGAAGGGAGGAAAGCAAGCAGCATAAAGAGGTTGGATTTTACATCTCATTTAGAGCGTGTGTAGGCTTCCCTCCACCCCCCCCCAACTGCTCCCCTGCCTTATGAACGCCTTTAGCATCCGTGCAAAACCTCGTCCTTGCGGTGCTGCCCCCTCGGACACGCACACAGACGAACTTACCAGTGAACCTGGCTGTCAGGGTGGAGACCTAAGCAGCTCGGCTGTAATCTTTAATAAAAATATAAACTGTTCAGCTCCTCTTCAGCAAAACAAAAGCTTCCTGCCTGCTGTGAACGAGGTCTCTTTATTGAGAGATTTACTTTTAATTTCAAACAGCTTCGCAGCATTATCCTTAGCAGGAAAAAAAAAGAGCCCAGAGATTTTTGAGCTATTCAGTCAACTGCCTGGTAGGGTTTCTCATTGAAATCAGCTTCTCCTAGCAGCATCGCATGAGAATTGCTGGTTTGCATCTCTTCCACAAGTCATTTCACATTTTTAAAAGATGGACAAAGTGCTGATTTCATTTGATCGAAAACAGAAAGCCACAAAAGTCACCACTGCTGGTGGAGCCCCTTAATATCAGCATTTCCCAGTGCTCATTGTGCTACGGGCACTGGCTCCAAATTTCAACAGCTCAGCGTTCCATCCTTCGCTTTTTTAATTTCTTTTTAATCTTATATGGGAAAAGAATTTTAAACAGAAAAAATTCAGGGAAACTTTTATTAAATGGCGGGGGGTGCTTCAAAAAAA